CACTCTCCGTCCATGGGGCGGTAAATAAATGGCACATTCGGGAACCTGGTAATAATGAGGTACTGACTTAGCATAATCCTCACTAATGCCCACACGCTCTGGATGAAACCATTCTCGGCAGCTGTCACACTGCACCATTATCCCTTTAGGATTCGACTGTTAACAAACACAATATTGTCTGGTCTTAGTTCCCTTAGAGGTTCTAGGTCGTTTGGGCGACTTGGGCTTTACTGACAGCTCTAATCTTTTCCTCACCCGTTTACATGTTCCCATATAAGAACTTACTGATTCCTCTTGGTTGGGGTTAACTTTCGACTGACCCCCACCCCTGGGCTCTCAGGACTTATTCCTGAGTCCACGGTCCCCAGCGGCGTAGCCACGTTGTATACAAGAGAACTATCCCCATCTCGTTCTACTGACTGTCCTGGCAACTGATCTGATAGTTAACTAACCATTTAGGAAGTTGCATTACCTTGACTTCGCGCCGAGATTTAACAATAAATATTGTGTCGGATTTGGCTTCTATAATCTTCCCAGGACCCCTCCAGACAGATTCAACTTTTTCTTCCGCATTGCGGCATCAATATACCAAATGTCAGATCTTGAACTTGCGGGCGCGGGTCTTAATGTCATGCGAGCTTTTCATTGCCTTTTGTGAAACCTTAAGTTTTTTACGGGCAATGTCATGTGCGCTCTGAACATCTAGATCTTGTAAATACCGGTCAACCTCACCCTCCTCCCTATTTTTAAAAGACGTGGAAGGCGATGGAGCGTATATAAAGGTTGCTGGAATATTCACTTCACGACCCAGCATTAGACGATTTGGGGTGTAACCGGTATGGCGATTGACTGCCGACCGCAATGCTCCAGCCAACGGGCCTAGGTATTTATCATATGACTTGGGTTGGCCATCGACGTAACAGCAGACTGCGTCCATTAGAGTGCCGTTGTAGTGCTCTACCTGGCCATTCCCTGAAGGACTGTATGGTGCTGTGACTGTTGACTTTTTTACTTACTGACAACATGGCCGATTTCTGCCGGTGTTATGCTGTACCTGCTTTTAAAATTGCACATGTAGATTTTTCATTACGTATTTGCTAAACTGTTGAAAAATAAAGACAATATCATAACGTTTAATATTTATTTTCATGATCATGATCTATTGAAAGAACTTTACACCCAATTTTTTTACTGAAGGCTTTAGCATTACACTTGTTTGCTGAAGGATTTAATGTTACACCTGACATGTTTTCTAAAGGCTTTAGCCTAATTCCTGACTTGTTTACTGAGGGATTTAGCATTACACCCAACTTGTTTACTGAGGGATTTAGCATTACACCCAACTTGTTTACTGAGGGATTTAGCATTACACCTGACTTGTTTACTGAAGACTTTAAAATTACACCTGACTTGTTTACTAAAGGCTTTAACTTTACATCTGAATTGTGTACTGAAAGCTTTAACTTTACACCTGACTTGTTTAATGAAGGCTCTAACATTACACCTGACTTGTTTACTGAGACCTTTCACTTTACATCTGACTTGTTTACTGAAAGCTTTAACTTTACATCTGACTTGTTTACTGAAAGCTTTAACTTTACATCTGACTTGTTTACTGAAAGCTTTAACTTTACATCTGACTTGTTTACTTAAAGCTTTAAGATTACACCTGACTTGTTATTTGAAGGCTTTACCATTACACCTGACTTGTTTACTGCAGGCTTTAAGATTACACCTGACTTGTTTACTGAAGGCTTAAACATTACACCTGACTTGTTTACTGGAGGCTTGAACATTACATCTGACTTTTTACTGAAGGTTTTAAGATTACACCTGACCTGTTTACTGAAGGCTTTAGCTTAACACCTGACTTGTTTACTGAAGGCTTTAAGATTACACCTGACTTGTTTACTGAAAGCTTTAACTTAACACCTGACTTGTTTACTTAAGGCTTGAACATTACACCTGACTTGTTTCCTGAAAGCTTTAACTTAACACCTGACTTGTTTACTGAAGGCTTTAACTTAACACCTGACTTATTTACTGAAAGCTTTAACATTAAACCTGACTTGTTTACTGAAAGCTTTTACATTACACCTGACTTGTTTACTGAATGCTTTAGCATTTCACCTGACTTGTTTACTGAAGGCTTTACAATTACACCTGACTTGTTTATTGAAAGCTTAAATATTACACCTGATTTGTTATGTGAAGGCTTTAGCATTACACCTGACATGTTTACTGAAGGCTTTAAGATCGACTGTTCTTCCAAGTTTCTAAGACGAGGCTAGCTAGTGGAAATACGTTGTTTAATTAATTAATTCAGTAGCACGCTTTAGATGAAGATTTCGTAAATTTTATGTTTGATACAAGGATGCTTTCATAAATTATAATCCTTGATTAAGTCCAATGTTGACTGACATTTATGAACAAAAAGGATACGGAGATAACGAACAGAATTCAATCTCAAAGTCCATAAAACAATACAAAACAGGAGCAGAGCAAATAAGGACCTCCGAAACATCAGAGGTGGGATCAGGTGCCATGGAGGAGTGAGCATGCCCTGCTGACCGGTCACACCCGCCGTGTGCTTATTGTCATGATCAGGAATAACGTGAAAATCCGTCATCAATTCAGTGTATAAATATGAACTAACAATTTTTATAAAAAACGTCAATTGTTAAAAAATTAGGATTATATCATACTGAATTGTCTATGAGTTTTTTTTCCGGTTTACTTAATCTTGACAAGGAACACACGGTGGGAGTGCCGTTCCCAAAAAAAAAAAAATGATGTCATGCTTTTATGTACGCATACATACATACAAGCGTACTTGGTACAAATTGTAAGACATATTGTTTTACAATTTGTACCAAGTTGCTTGTTTCTATGTGCAGGTTAAGTATTATTTCTACAAGCCCAATGACTATCGTGTCCGACTTTTTAAGTTAAAATAAGTGTAAAAATGAGTGTTCCATTTATGCGCAATCAAAGCTATTCACCATTTCCGTTTAAACTTTACTTCATTTAAATAAGGCATCATATATACACAGTAGATAATACACACAGGATTCAGAAACAAGTTGTAACTACTTATATTACTCCGATTCTAAAACAATTTTACCAATTTGGGTCTCATTTAAACAACGTATACGGATTCCTTATTGTGAACATCTATCCTAAGTACTTTAAGCGCTTAAAAACATTCTTAAAGAATTAAATAATTGTATTTTACAAGTCTAAGATTAAAAAGTTAATAAACCAATGATGATGTATTGTGTTACATTTAGAGGCTAATATAATTATAAAAGTTGAAATTAATCAATGAATAATGTCTTAGAGTCAGATAATTGTCACTTTGAATTTTATTTCGAATTTGCTGATTTCTATTTTCATTCAGACGGGGGTGATGAGGGAAAATATATATTAAAATTCCATATTTTAAAGATTAGATAATGAAAAGAAAAACACTGTACAACATAAAGACATAATAGGCATTAACAAAATGAAAATCAGCACACTTTTCATTATCATGTTTTAGATTGCAATTTCAAAATAAACATTCATGACAATTGATATCAACTTCAATAAAATCGATACTTAAACAACAGTGAAATATAGAACATGTATCAGTTAGCCAATCACTTTTCAGACATTGATTAAGGTACGATATATATATTTGGCTGTTGGAAGTTCGTTCAGCAGAATTTCACAGATTCACAAGAACGCGGAAGTTTTTTGCGCAACCAAAAAAAATTAAAATTATTTTTTTAAAAATTAAAAAAAAATGAGCAGTCAGTGGGTTATCACTTTAGTTGTATGCTTCTTAGCTTTATCTAAAGCTTCCATTATTTCTCAGAAATATATTGCGAAACAGGAATTTAATGATAAGAGATCAGATTATGAACTTTTAGGGGAATATAATTCTCAATCATTGATCGAGTGCGCCGCTATGTGTCAAGAGGAGTGCGGTTTCTTTGGTTTCAACTCACAAATGAAGAAATGTCGTACTCACAAGAAAAGATTAACGTCTGAGCTGTCTGATGAGGCCGGTTGGAGACTACTCGGATAACGGTATGTCTATTTGTTATTTTTTATCTGTCTGCTTGCTTCTTTGGGTTTCTTAAATCCATTTCGAACATACACGATTTTCTTCTTTGACACTTCTTTTTATGTAGTATAAACAACTGGATTTTCAACATAATTGATTCTAATGACATTCTCATCTCTTTGCTTAGTTTTTTCTTTGATATATTTTTTTAAATTTTGAATGATTTTTTAATTTGAGATTGATTGAATTATACTTTGTGATTTTCTCAATTTTCTCTTTTCTTAATCTCTCTTTCCATGTAATGGACAACATTAGATAAAATTTCTACAACGTGAATATTTAGTATATCTTTATTTAAGCTTGTGACAATGATCAGTCCAAACCATTAGAAAATTATAGCTTGTTAATAACTAAATAAACGAAAAGAGCTCACTTTAGCTCGTTTCTCGTAATTGCTATCTTAAAAACAGTTGTTTTGAAAGCTTAGATGACAATCCTGAAAACAGCTGGCCTGTGCCACGGAGAAGTAAACATCCCCTGTCGATCGGTCAGACATTATATCGTACATCAAAACGAAACATCATGATTTTACTACATATAAAAGTCAACAGAGTATTGAAAATAATTGTGTTTAGTTTTAAATACTTTTAAACATGTCATAAATCGAAGATTTGTATCAATTGGAAAACAAGAATGGTTTTAGATAATAAGGAACAGTTTAACATAATACGCATTTTACATGTAGTTAACATTTAAGCTTCAACAATTAACATTTATATATCATGCAGACATTATATATCCTCTCACTTCTTGTTCATATACATAATATGATTCCGGTATTTCTTTAGATTGTGTTTTTTCTGCCATGCCCAAAGATTGTCAGGATCTTTGTGAAGAAGGACAAGCTACTACAGGGGTGTATGATATATACCCCTACAGAACTTTAACAATGCCGATAAGTGTCTACTGCGATATGACCTCAATGGGCGGGGGGTGGACGGTATGTATAGTTTATTTATACCCGCACTTTCTAAAGAAAGTTCGGGTATATTGTTGTTACTCATGTCCGTCCGTCCGTCCGTCCGTCTGTCACACTTTTCTTCCCTGAACTCCTCTTACATTTTACACAGTAGGCTAATCATCTTTTGGGAGATGGTTTGTGGTGTCATGTAGATGTGCAGTAAAGTTACGGAATTTTGATTTTGCCCGGGGGGCAATGGGTCAAAAATGACGTTTTTTATGCAAAAAGCCCCGTCTTCCCTGAACTCCTCTTACATTTTACACAGTAGGCTAATCATCTTTTGGGAGATGGTTGGTGGTGTCATGTAGATGTGCAGTAAGGTTTCGGAATTTTGATTTTGCCCCGGGGGGTCAAATGGGGGTCGAAAAATGACATTTTTTATGCAAAAAGCCCCGTCTTCCCTGAACTCCTCTTACATTTTACACAGTAGGCTAATCATCTTTTGGGAGATGGTTGGTGGTGTCATGTAGATGTGCAGTAAGGTTTCGGAATTTTGATTTTGCCCCGGGGGGTCAAATGGGGGTCGAAAAATGACGTTTTTTATGCAAAAAGCCCCGTCTTCCCTGAACTCCTCTTACATTTTACACAGTAGGCTAATCATCTTTTGGGAGATGGTTGGTGGTGTCATGTAGATGTGCAGTAAGGTTTCAGAATTTTGATTTTGCCCCGGGGGTCAAATGGTCAAATGATGTTTTTTATGCAAAAAGCCCCTTCTTCCCTGAACTCCTCTTACATTTCATACAGTGGCCTAATCATCTTTTGGGAGATGGTTGGTGGTGTCATGTAGATGTGCAGTAAGGTTTCGGAATTTTGATTTTGCCCCGGGGGGTCAAATGGGTGAAAAAATGACGTTTTTAATGCAAAA